TCAAAAAAGAAATACTTGTTATAGAGGGGTAATATTATAAATTAAAGAGCGTATCGTTTTAAAGATAGTTATTATTGTTATAGATGAAAAGTCGTTATATAAAAGATAAAATTTAACATAAAAATTCTATTTCGTGAAAAATTTGATATTTACATACATGTAAGGTTATTTGGTTTGAAGATTTTTCATTTTTTTTATAAATTAAAAATATGATCCCGATATTTGGGACGGTTATACACTTAAACAAAAGTTTACGATTTTATTTTAAAAAATGATATAAATTAGCTCGATATGATTAGGTTAGATCAATTTTTCATATTCTTTTCAAATTCCTAGATAGTATTATATAAAAATATTGTTATAATGAGTTCTGACCATATAAACTCACTTGTGCATAGTTCAATAATATAGGATCTCATTCAATAGGTGTTGTACACATAGGGCAATTTTTTCAACTTTATCTTTGTTCATGACAAGGGCATTTAACAGAATATTAATTGCCTAGTATCAACTATTGTATTCAATTATTTTTTAATAACCACATTATCGGTTGGTTAGTACTCACTTTTTTTTTGGTTGATTTATTTAGTGGGTGATGGACCATGTGCAAATGTGCCACTTGTATACCCTTTTTTTTTTGGTTGGGGTGGGGGTGGGGGGAGGGGATTCTATGAGATATGATATATTTTTAGCATTTATTTAGTTTGTGGGGCTCAATGGTTTCTTTGGCTATTTAAAGGTATGATAATTTTCTTGAGAAACCATTGTGAGTTTTTAGTAGTTCAAGTGTTTTGAGTTTTTTTTTTTTCAATCAAACAATACTATGGCAACTTTGGTACCTGAGGTTGAGAATTGGGCATGTATCAATGGTTGCAATAATGATTTGACCAATTTTGATAACTCCCAAATCGATTGTTCCCTTCTCATGTCATTGCTTGATGACTCGCAAGGCGTAGACGATATTGATCATGATAATGAGAGATTATCGAGTGTGATTAGATCTCTCGAGGCTGAAATTGATGATCAACACCTAATCAACGTCGATCATGATTCATTTCAGAATAGCCATCAAGGGAGTACTACCAACGATGAAGATTGGCAGTCGTGGGAATCTGGTCAAAATCAAAGCCAAAGTCAAGAGTTTTTTGAATCGGACAGTCTTGATTTGAATTGGATGGATATAGAGATGGAGATTGCTCCTTCTAATACCATTAGTGATGACATGATGAACTTTTGGTGCATGGACAATAGTTATGGACAAGATCATGATGTGTATGAATATGACTATGGTACTTTTCCCTTAGAGGAAAATGATCACAATTCATCAGCTTTAACAACACAAGGCTAAGTCGGAGTTCCAATATGGGCTCTCGACACCGGGTGAGAAACCAAAAAGAAAAACACAAGGTTAAAGTTTGTGCCAAAAATTGTAACTTCTATTGTAATTGATTAGCTAGAGGTTAATTGTACTTGAATTTAGATGTATTAGTGAGGGGGAAATCAATAAAATGACAACACTTATCAGAGTTAATATCTTAAAAGGTTATTGAAATATGAGAATAGTCCTTAAACTTTGTTTTATATCAATAAAATCACTTAACTTAAGATATTTATCTACAGAAATCATTCAACTACATTTATCATTAAAATCAATTTAATACAAAAAAAATAAAATATTTTTAGGTCATATAAACATGAATGCCATAAATAATATTTTTTTTAAAAAACTCGTTTTATCCTGTTTATCAATGATTCAGTTCTTTGTTTCCAATCACAAATGAAAATAATTAAAATTTGGGTGTAAAATCCATATTCATAAGAGACTCGTTGTCACATTACAACCTGCTAGCAACATTGCTAAATTAAGATCCGCTGTCAAGGAATTGAAAAGAAAAACTATATGTTATTACTCATTAATTGTTTTGGGTTATGCACTATATTACTCATTTATTTATATTATAATTAATATATTTGTATATGGAGACTGGCAGAGGTGGAGCCAAGATTTGATGTTTGTGGGTTTTAAATTTTAAAATAAAATAACATATTAGTTTAATATAACAATCGTTAAATTACAAACAAATATATATAGCCACAAACATATAAGCATATCATTACAATTACACTCGACAAGTTGTTACGTTCTGAAAACGGTAAATGATGCATCATTTAATTTGGTACACTTTCAAATACTTCATTTATTAATATGAAGATTATCTATTTCAAAGTTCTAAATTATTATTTGGTAAAAGGTAGACACTAGATAAGTGTTATATTTTAGTATATATTTTGAACATTTTTTCGATAATCTCAACATTATTTTAAGTAAAATTAAAATTATTAAATTCATCATTAATATTTTTGGGACCTAAAGGGAAGGTTTTACTTGCTTCACCCTTAAACCACTCTTGCCTTGAAAGTTGAAGTTTCGAGAAGCAAATAATAACTTAATTAATATAATCAATTATTAATATGTGGAACAGTCCTAAAATCAAAGATTAAAAATAAGATCTTTGAATAAATTGTTATATAGTGTAAACACAAATTTAAAAAGAAGAAGAAGGGAGAGCCGAGGAGGAACTAAGAAGAGTAAATAGTACTTACCGGGGAAGAGGTCTGCACTCTGACAACCAGCAGCAGTAATGAAGTCGGCAATAAAAATTAGAACCCTAACTTTTTTAGATTAAATTTTGGGTTTAAGGTTTTATTGAATGCTTCAAAAGAAATCAATAATGAGATATTGTATTAGAGTATTACACTATATTTTTGTTACTTACAATTATCTATTTTGAAATTAATAGTCAGATGTTATTTTGGAGTATGATACTACTTTTTTTATTATTTTCAATTATCAATTTTCTGTTTTATTGTTTAAAAAAGAATTTAGAAAAATCTATATAGAAAGAAATGAATTAAAGGAGGGTAAAAGATAGGCACAAAGCACATTATTAATCCAAAATTTTAAAAATCCGAAAAAAATGAATTAAAGAAGGATAAAAGATAGGCACAGAGCAAAAATAAAAAAATCAAATTGTGCTTGGTGGGGTTTGAACCCCCTCCAAAGAAATTAGAGTTGCCCGCGCGCTTACCACTGCACCATCGACCTTAGTTTGATGTGGGTTCACACGCAATATTTACATATATGTGTGCTTGATTTTTTAGTACATATATAGGATCTACATAAAAGTCAGTGGGTTCGTCCGAACCCTCATTTAACATTGTAGCTCCTCCCCTGGATTGGAGTATCTAATCAAAGTAATCAATACATAATTACTTCAGCCAAAAAAATATTTTACGAACAGTGACACAAAATGTAGAAAACGAATATTGAAGCAACGTGGGTATAATGCGGATTTATGTTGAGCGGGTTGAAAATATAAAATTTTAATTTGTGAAATTCATATTTACATGACATATAAAATAAATTTATTTGTTATGGTAAATTTATTTTAATGATAATTTTTTTTAAAAAGCAGAATGTGTTTTCTGAAATTTTATTTATTTGTGGGGATTTTACCTGACATATAAAATAATTTATTATGTCTTATTGAATTTATTTAATGAAAAATATAGTTGAGTGATTTTTGAAGATAAAAACTTTAAGTTGAGTGATTTTATTGATATAAAATAAAGTTTAATGATTTTACAAGATAAATTATCTTAGTTCAATGACCTTTTAAGACATTAACTTCACTTATCATGCTCCTAAACCTTGGATGTCAATATTAATATTGGTGTTTGATTGGTATAGAGTTAAAAAATTAGTACATACAAAAGGTAACCTAAAAATCAAGTAATTTTTCAGAGGGGTACATAAATCGGTTTGGTTTGAGTTTTTTATTTATTAAATTGTATTAATTGTGTTGATTTGCTATAGACAGTGGGCTAATATTGTTAGACCAATCATAGTGTTAGAATATTGGGAGTTGTTTGATACGTGGAATATGGTTAATAATTTTGAAATAAAATTTAAAATAAAATTTATCATGTGTTTAATTTGGGATATTAGCTAATCCTAGAATAACTTTTACGTTGAAATGATGAGGTTAGCTATCACATGTAAAAGGTGAGATGGCTAATTCTATAGGATATTGTGTGCTATACCAAAATTGTACCATAAGAAATAAAAATTAAGATAAAGTTAAGAAAATATCTATAAATTACTCATATTAAATTGTTTTTAGGTATAGAATAATTTTAGAATTGTATGGATTGGTTTGATCTATGTATAGTAACTAATTAAGTACAATACTATTTCTATTTATAGGAGATCTACGAAGGGTATTTATTTATCACCGTTTATAAAAAAATTAACTATGAAATTTGATGCGATCCTAAAATGGAGGAAGTGACATATATTATTTGAATATTATGTAAAATGAACTACTATAACTTAAGATATCTAAAAATCATTTAAAAAATTGATTTGACTTTTCAAATTTTATGTGTCAAATAAATTAAAACCAAAAAAATAATAGTATATATTAGGTTCATGCTAACACGGACTCATGTATCTATTTGTATATATATGTTAGCTTTTCCACCATCTTTTTACTTTCACAAATAAAAAAAAAAAGATCTTAGATATGTAAACAATGAATATTTGAGGTCCAAAGAAATGAAAATGATCATCTTATGTCATTTCTTAAAAACTCAATTTTAGAAAGATTAATTATCAAATTTGTTTCAACGAGAAGAGTATGAAGATGACAGAATGATGACATGAAAAAGCCTGACTTAGTGCCTTAAGGTTGCATACTCCTAATAATGATGTGATGCTTTTAGACAAATCATTCGAGCTTTGCTCAAAGCAGACAATGTCACACCATGTCAGTAGTTTCACAAAGAAGTACATGCATTGTTGACAGAAAAAGAGGATCAACATGTACAAACAGAAGCCAAAATGGAACTATTACATGATATATATATTCATGTACAGTAAAAGCTATAACAGTAACTCTGCATTAAGAAAAATGTACAACAAACATATTCATTTAACACATTGATCCATTCACCTCAAAGGTTTGAAACTTTTGGACTTGCTGAATTCATAGCTTTATCATGAACTACCTCCTCACTAGTTTTCAGGTTTCCCTTATCATCTACCAATTCACTACTCTTCACTGTGTTGCCATTGAGATTCTCAATGACAGTGCTGGCTATGAAACGACCGCTAACTGAACGGCCTAGAGGTGAACCAACTGAGGGAGTAAAATCATCAGAGGAGGAGTCAGATTCCACGGATAGATCTCTCTCTGATGCTGTTGGTTCTAACTCACCTTTAGATTTTCGTGATGATTTCCGAGATACTGCATGTCTTAGGATATTCTTCGCCTTGTCACGGACTCTGCTCTTGTTGGAGCTACTACATTGAACATATCCCTCATGAGCCTCTTTACTATCATCTCGGGGAGTTGTTTCCACCGAATCATTCATAATAAGATTCACCCTGGTCTCCGTTGCGCTCACTGCCTTTAGATTAGCTTGAGGAGATGGAACGGGATCTCCAAGATTTCCAGACCTGTCCTCGCTTTTCTGACTTTTGTGGAAAATGGACCCGATCTTATTTATACCCCTGCTGATTAGATTCGACTTCTTAGATCCACTACCTTCATCAGAATCATCACCCCGAGTAGATCCTCCCCCTCTTAACTTGAAACTTCCTCCCATGGAATCAGCATCAGAACCAAGAACTTCTCCATCGACAACCCGACTCTTTCCCTTTCTCGGTTCCCAAACTTGTGGTACTTCACTGCCAGGGTGGTGTACCCACATGCCAGTCTCCTTCTGCCCTTCTATGTTAATTGGTTCATATGTATCTGCAACTTTTGACGATTGCTTATCCATCTCGGTGGGTAAGAAGCCTCCTTCGGCTGTATCCATCTCATCAGAATTGCTGTCCTGTTTGTTGTCCCTTTTTGCCTGCTCGTATGACTGCTCTGTACACTGAAAATTAATACACATAACTTTTCAACCATCTATGCTTTCGTTAGTAAAAATATATGGCCTACTTGTCACTAGGCCTAATTAATTTAATGGGATCATCTGGAAAACAGAATAAATTGAAGTTGAATCATTTCCAGAAGCAATTCACAGTGATCTCATGAGAAGTGTTGGCTTCGTGACAGCCTAAGTACTTGTTCACTGTAACTCACAGGAAAGAAGTATGTACCTTTTCGCTGCCTTCAACTACAGTTATGGCAATACGTAATCTCCCCGTTTTAACATTACGAAGAGACAACCATATATCATTCCTCTGGCCATCCCTATAATCACAGATGTTTATGGAATAATCTCTGCCAAAAAGAAACATGTTGAGTTAATAAAGCGCACACAAAAACATTTGCATTTACTGAGGCACATTTTGCATAACATTCAAGAGAAGAGAATATGCTGAAAGGATTCTTCAAAAGGGAAAAAATGAATATGATAGCAAATAGATTATGCACCAAGGGGAAGTTTTATTCTTCCAGTGGCCAGTGAAGATCCTACTTTCATCTTCAAATACAAAAGAACTCAAGATATGAACAGGGACGAGAAACACAAAAGACAGCGAAAATCTATCTCTACTTGTCCAAGTCATCATAATACCTCAATAGATAGGAATATGATGTTACTACGAGTATTAGCTTTGCAGGAGATAGCTGAAGCATTAAGATAAGCACACTAAAAGCTGAGAATCAAGCATTGTGGAAGAAGGAACTAAAAGCAAGAGATAACTCGCAAAGAGCAATAGAAGCCACCTAAACATGGAAATCTCTCAGCATAACCCGACCCTTACGTGGTTGGAGTTAACAACTCACTCATAGTATATCCTTCTTTTCCCTTTTTTGGGGATGATAATGATGTCTCGGCCATTGGACGGGAGTCTTGGATTAATTGATAAAGTTATACTGTCATGTGACCAGGAGGTCACAGGTCCAAGCTGTGGAAACAGCCACCTCCAAAAATACAGGGCAAGGCTGTATAGTATGTCCTAATATTCTATTATTAGTGCACCAAGCTGCCCTTTCTTTCTTTTTGATGGTGTCTGGGCAATAGTATATCCTAATATCCTATTATTAGTCTATGACTCTATGTTCCTGCAGTAAAAGGTAAAAGAGAATAGGACAGACCCCAATGTTTCATCCGAAGAAAAATGGTCTTTGTCACGAACGTCTATGTTGAGCATATCATTAGGAGACTCCCATGAACAGACTGGAATCTTGAACTCCTCTTGCCACTGTGGAGCTAATGTCTTCTTCTGAGTCCTAGTCTTGAATCTGTAGGGCCCAAGATGCCCCTTAACATATGGATCAGACAGTCCTGAAAATGATCTCTCAGGTATTTAGCATGTCCTAATTAGATAGATTACAGTAAGAAGCCTGTCAGCTAACCATTTAAATCTGCTGGTTTCAAGTCTTCTGCTTCAAGGACTTCCAAAATAACATGGGCAATGGGCTCCTTGGCATCGATAGAAAACCAGCTTTTGTCTGAAAAGAAAACAAACGATATGGAATTAAGTAGCAGAAATAAAACTTATTTATCCCAAACTGAAGCCAACCAACTCTTATTCCCTTACATTTCCATCCAAACAAGTTATGAACAAATCGCTAATTAATTACTGTAGTATAAACAATGTGAATGAAGAGGATTCATGGAAATTCTCCGCATGAAGATTTGATGTTCCAATTCTGTAAATACTAAATACCTCCACATACAAAATGATTTCAAATATCCATTCATGTGTTGTGGTTTAGGACATCATTCACACTAATCCATTATTGATTTGGGCCTGATAATATTGAGCAACGAGAAAAGAGAGAGCGAGAGAGACAGGTTAGAGTAACTGTTACCTTGTTGGGGTGAGACAAATTTCTCCATATCAACTACCAGCATGTTGGGCTGCAAAATGTCATCCAGACTTTAGTCTAAAAACTCCTTGCGAATCATTAATTAGGACTTTTGGTAACCATAGTACCAGTTGGTGAACTATGCACACCATTTGAGCAAGTGAAAAAGAAGGCCGAGAGTGTATTAATGTGAAACATTTATCACAATATAAAGAGGATCAAGGTCAACACAAAAGACACTTAATACTCCAAGCATGACAGAGGAATAAAGTAAAGAAGACAATGGGAACCACACCTCAACAAGTGTCTGCTCAAATGCAACAGAAAGAAGATTATCCTGAAAAGAAGGCAAAACAAATTTAGAGGAAGTGCACAACTGCCGAGTCATTTACCCAGATACTGAGAGAGACCAATTTAACTAACCAGCCATCCAGCAACTCCAGGAAGTTCTGTCACATCAATCCCATGTGTAAAAATTGGTTTTACAGTCATCTGAAAGTAAGGAGGCTCAGCAAAGCACACCCGCATACGACCAAGAAACGGCCACTTCCTTAGGAACTTCACACCAATCAAGACCTACATGGAAAAAGTTTAGCCCCAAAGAAATTTATTTTGCAATAGCTGGGATCAGATTATGAACATCCATCACATCAATGATAAATCATCAGATTAAGATTGATAAACAAAATTTAGCAAACCACTAAATATCTCAACCTCACAGTGGCTAAACTACCACTGGGAGAAAATTTTCTGAAATTCCATAAGAGAATTAGCATACAACTTTATAACTAGAACTAGAATGTTATAAATCAATGATTCTTTTACTAGCCACAAAGATCAAACAACACTAAAGGATGAACCAGAACATACTCATGTGATGCTAAGTATCTGGAAAAGGCTGCTTACCAATAATATAAAGAATCATGGTGCATATAGTTGATCTGTCAGTACCATTTTGAAATTAGCTGTAAATATTTAATCCATACCCCGTCACTGTCAGATAATACCATCATGCAATCCCATATTTACGTAAATCAACTCATCTGAGATACTGATATCTAGAGTCTAGAATTTTTTATCATCAAAATGTTTCTTTAGGCCCCCTTAAACAATCTTCTAATAAAAGACAACATCAACATCTGAGCTCTTTGTCCTTGTCCGGGAAAGAAAAAGAATATATGAGGGACACGATACACAAGTTGCATAAGTCCTAGAACTTTAAAAGTAGCCTTTTAATCAACTTTTCAGCTAAATGTTGCCAAAGTAAGTAAGATCTGCAAAGCACTTGTATTGTAAGTTAAAAAGCAGTCATGCAAAATCTAAGGTTACATCTAGTTAAGATTTTAAGTTTACCAGACACAAATATTTTAGAACTAAAATGAATCTGATAATGGAGTTTTAAAATATATACCGATACTCCTAATCTGGCCCCCTCACATCTATGAGTTGGCATTAGTTATTTACCTTTCCCTCAATGTGCATTCCCAACAGATGCAACTTTGTCACCATCCCAAATCCCAACCTCTTCTTCAGCTTCGCAGCAAGAATCGCACTCATGTCATCTGCAGAACGAAAGTTCATTCCCAGCTCCAATACCTGCACTCAATATATCTTAGCAAATAAGCACAAATCGAGCAGAACCATACTGATGGAATAGAACAACTTTCTTAAGTCAGGATTACATACAAGGTGATCATCTCCAGTAGATTCACGAAGAACCCTCATTTCCGTGAACATAGGCGGGTTTCTTCCTAAGTAGAGAGACTGCACTGCAATGTCTTTCTGTAGGTTAACAGAAAAGCATCCTAGTAACTTATCTTGCAGAACAAATTAATCCTCATACTGAAGTTATGAAAAATGCTGATTATGTTACAATGATTAATAACTAATGTATTTAACAAAGAAGCCAACAATTAAACCTAAAACACAACTATAATTCAAAGCACACAACAGAGGGGAAAATCAAAACCAAAGCCATTTTACAACTAAATGGTAATTGGTACATAAGTATTCCTACCACAGTCCAAGGTTTGTATTTCTGCATAAACCACGGAATGATAGGGAGGAGAATTTTCTGTGAAACGATATTCTCCATGCATACAGGCCAAATCTTTTCAAGAGCATGGTTTAACCACCTCACTGTTTCAGAATCAGAAAGCACCTGAGAAAAGCCCAAAAAAAAGAAATAAAAATAAACAAAATTGTATTGACTCAAATACCAGATCTATAGCAAGTGACTACCATTATCATCAGTATTCAAACTTAAAAAATCTAATTTGCTTGGCATAATCTAACAACAGCAACAACAACAAAATACCGAGTGTAATGGGGAGATCCCTACCTTATGCAAGTAGAGAGGTTGTTCCCGATAGACCCTCGGCTCAAGAAGGCAAAAACACAACATTTATGGAAACATAGGCAGTAACAACAGCAGGATAGTAAGAAAACCAAGGCATAAGAGACAACAAGTAGTAATAGAAAACTAAAAATGAGAAATGCAGAAACAATAAAATAACAAAAAATACCAGAAATAATACTAATACTACTAGTAGGAAAAGCAAGATAAGAAACTATTACTACTACCCTTCTACCCATATCCTCCACCTCCCCTCCGGTCATGTCCTCGGTAAGCATGTGGTTTGTCATGTCCTATTTGATCACTTCTCCACAAGTTCATTTTAGTGACTTTTGTAAAGTAGTACAGATTCTGGTGTAAAGATGCTACTCGTGAGACCTAGTTAACTATTCAATGTAATTTGGCATAAAGAATCATAGTGCAAAAGAAAATGAACATTCTGGGACCCTTCAACAAAACGTAAAGCTTGGGACTTTTAACAACTGCAAGAAAACAGAATCCTCCATATTTCACTAATAAAACCAAAAAATCTCTCTTTGCAACTTTTTGAATCTTGGAATTTTTTTTACTTTTTGCCCACCAATATTCTTTGTGGGCCTGTTAAATCAAACAACACAAGAAATACATAAAGATATTACAAATTGAGCTGCCAAATACTCACTCGTCGTTGATTCGACTGTCTTTTTTCCTCAAACTGCAATTTCTTCTTTAATCTAGTTACATACTGCTCATTAACCTTCAAAAATCCAACAACAAAAGCCTAAATTGACATCATAAGACCACAAAACCTTAAAGAACAGATAAAAAAAACAGAATCTTGTAATACATACCAGATAAAGATAGATTAGGGAGATGAAATAAACCAAAGGGTGACCATAATTGAAGGAATTAAGCAACCATATTACAATTAACACAATGCCCACATGATGTAGAATTGTAACCTCCGTTATACTTGCCATTTCTTAAAATTTTCCAACCCCAGAAAAAAAAGACTCCCTTTTTATTCCCAATTTACAGTCACTGATCAAAAACAAACACACCCTCACCAAATCTTGACAAAAAAACTCTTTTTTGATTCCTATTTACAGTCACTGATCAAAAATAAACACACCCATCATGAAATGAAAAAAAAAACTCTTTTTGTTTCCTATTTACAGTCACTGATCAAAAATAAACACACCCATCACCAAATCTTGAAAAAAAAAAACTCTTTTTTGGGTCACTGATAAAAAATAAACACACCCATTAAGAAATCTTGAAAAAAAAACTCTTTTTTGCTTATTAATTGCAGTTAATAATGACACCCTAACTCATTAATTGCATTGTTCTTTAACCATTAATTTGGTTTTCCATTTTTTTACACGTAAGTAAAGTACAGTAGTAACTGATTTTGAAAGCAATTGAAAATGTCAATACGGGTCGGGTCAGGTGAATTTTTCAAGAAAATTTTGGAACAACATGGCAAGAGAATTGGAGAATTGCTGGAGATCCGTATTTTTGAAGTTTTCGTTCCAGTTTAGAATTGCCATTTGTAGGTGGCACGTAGAATACACGTGTCTCAAAGAGACTAATGAATAGTGTATGTAGTTTTGTATCAAGTTAAAGATAGGACGGACAAAAATAAGAATATAAACATTACATATTTGTTTTTTCGAAGAGAAAAAGAGATAAATATATCTCTGAATTATCGTAAATAGTATACAGATACTATCTATCATATTTTTATGACATTGATGCTCTTGCCGTCCAAAAACTAGAGTTTTTATACCTTTTATACTAACGGATATGCATGTGTCATAATTTTATCCATCGATTCGATATTTAATATTTATTAAATATCGAATCGACGGATAAGATTGTACCACGTGTCTCTATTTAGTTTTTCGTTAGCGTAAAAGACATATATGCTATAGTTTTTTAACGACAATAATACTAATTACCCAAAAATATAACAGAAGATATCTGCATAATATTTACGATAGTTTGAGAATATATTTATCTTTTTGCCTTTTTCAAATATATAAATGCGATAGTCCCTTTCAACTACTAGAAAAAGAGTGAGAAAACAAGAAAAGAAATTTAAACTTTTTATATATTTGAGTTGAAAGAGACGTGGTCACAATTCAAAAGGAAGAAAAAGTAAAGTGGTTATATTAATAAAATCAACGTGGAGGCAACTTAAAAGGTAATACTCCTTCGTCTAAAACGAATGAATTAGTTTGACTTAACAAGAATTTAAAAAAAATAAAAAAATATAATTTTATTATTTTTAATATATGAAAATATATTTTAATTTTATGATCTGTGACGTGTAAAAGTTTGAAATTATAGGTGGCATCACCTTTCGTGTTAGCACTAAATATTGTCAAATCACTATCAATTGCATATTCAATTAGAAATTGTCGTTTTACTATTAAATTTTCTTTGCTTCTGAAATTTATTTTCTCATTTTCATCATAATATAAAATCATTTACTGTTATTATCTGATGTTTTTTCGTTTTTCTACATCTTCTTCATTTTCTAGCTTCTCCATTTTGTTGCCAAAACCCCATATTTTTCTTCCTTTTAAATCTTATACGACGTCGTTTTCAGCACAAATCATGCCTTGTAAACTTATTTTTCGTCAATTATTCGAGAAGGAATCATCTACCTATACTTACCTTCTTGCTGATTCATTGCATCCTGATAAACCAGCACTGGTAATTTTTTTATTTTTTTTATTTTATATTTAGTTCAAACTTCTAATTTGTATAATCTTGGGTAATGTGTATTTCGATTGACTGGTGAGAGGTAACAAGTATCACGTGAAATTAATCCACGTGTATGTGTTTTATTAATGAATATTTGTGAGTATAACTCTGTTTATCCCTATGATATATATGGAACTGTTAGCGAGATAATATTTAATGTTTTGATCTCTGTGAATATATACCTAAAATTTTATGGAATATTCGAGATGTTCTTCAATAGAATATATACCGCACTTTTAGAGGTGTGAGCTAGACCTTAGAGTTTGAAGATGGATGGAATCATGTTGTAGAGTGTGCTATTTTGACCATATATGGTAAAAATTTGATGTCTATAACATGTTAGCTGGCTCAAACACCACGATTATCAAAGAAAAGAAAAGTAGAAATAGGGAGAGTTATTAGGTACATGTGTTGATGGGAGGTAGCACGTATGTATCCCCATGGAATTCGCCAGATAATATTTGATGTTTTGATCTTTTTTGTGAATATATGTAAAATTTTATGGAATATTTGAGATGCTCTTCGATAAAATATGTTCCCTTTTTAGAGGTATGAGCTTAGAACTTAAAGAGTTTGAAGATGGAGTGGAATCATGTTGTAGAGTGTTATTTTGAATCCGGTAAATATTTGATGTCTACAATATGTTAACTGGCTCGAACACCAAATAGAGAGCGTTATTAGGTACATGTGTTGATGAGAGGTAGCATATATCCCTATGGAATTAGTCGCACAAGCTTAAAGAAGGCGGATTTAGAAAGCAAAAAGAAATAAGAATGAGAGGTTGGTTCAATGGTGAGGTAGCTCGTCTTCAACGTATGGGTCGTGTGTTGGAGTCACACTTCAACTCCTGTTTCAAAAATAGATAATTTATGTCCAACTATGCAAAGTCGAGCAATGCATCATGGAGCTCTAGAATCCATTTTTCTTTTTAGTGTTCAATTTGATTTATCCATCAAAATATGAATTCTATAACTTAAATCAACATTACCTTAGCCTTATGAACTGAAGGCATAGAGATTCATTGGTTTGCTCCGTTCAATTTATGGTAACATATAATCCAACTGCAGTTGATTGACCCCGTGGACAGAACAGTGGATCGTGATCTTGCACTTGTTAAAGAATTGGGATTGAAGCTTATATACGCTATTAACACGCATGTTCATGCTGATCATGTCACTGGCTCTGGCTTGATTAAGGTCGGACTTATTTTCTTTGAACATAATACTTCATTTGCCTATGTTTTTATCAAAATTGTGCATCTTCTGTTTTCTGGTGCTTCATTATTGTTTCCGATGCTGCAGACTAAGGTGCCTGGCGTGAAATCAATCATTTCTAAAGCAAGTAATGCAAAAGCTGATCTTTTTGTTGAACCTGGTGATAAAATCTACATTGGAGATATTTATTTGGAGGTACATATACATATATAGTTATAAGAAATAATCATGTCATACGTGCTGTTGTTGTTGTTATACATGTCTGATAGACTTGCAAACACAGACAATTACCAACAGTTTGTTGTGCAATTGAATCATCAAATCTTGTTAGGGTAGATTCATTTAGACCATCATAATCATCCCTCGGTTGTACAGATGTGGGATCAATGGAGTACAAGAAGAACAGCTACCAACTCTCTTAGTTGGTCGTTACTCATTATAATTCTCCATCAGTTATATGGAGACACCTACCAAAATATTCATGAATATTTGGTTGTAGTGCGGAAATTTACCTTCCATCTTCAAGCTGATAAACTTCATTACAGGTTCGTGCAACTCCCGGTCATACATTAGGCTGTCTTACCTATGTTACTGGAGATGGAGTCAATCAGCATCAGCCAAGGATGGCATTTACTGGTGATGCTCTATTGATAAGGGGATGTGGAAGGACAGACTTTCAGGTACATCCTCCTGGTGTAGTGCGTGATTTTAGTCGAATTAAATGGAAGCCTTTACTTGTTAGTAGTTCGAGATGGACTTCAGGAAATGAAATAAAGTTTTCTGTCTATTAGTATCAAATTTTAATCATTTTCTTACTTTCCTGCAGGGTGGAAGTTCAGACAAATTATATGATTCTGTCCATTCGCAGGCAAGGATATAGTATCTGTTTCCTTCTATGAATATAATAACACGAATGCTCGATTCTTTTCCTATCCTTACTGTTGCTGATTCATTATCATTTTGTGTGAACAGATTTTCACATTGCCCAAAGATACATTAGTATATCCTGCTCATGACTACAAGGGGTTCACCGTAAGGATATATCTATTCATTTTTTTCAGTTTTTGAGGTTGTGGCTCTCAACCTGTTTACATTTGTGCCATTTCATTTTTCAGGTCAGCACAGTGGGGGAGGAGATGCTTTACAATCCACGACTGTCAAAAGATAAGGTACTTCTACACTAGTAGTTCTTACTCTAGTTTTAGTTTCACGCGAAGCACATCCCTTTGTGGCTAAAGTGTGAGGGACATGCTCAATCTACTTTCCTCTGTGGTCGAAAAAACTTGGACAAGATCTGTCTTTAGCTACCGAAGTGGACAAAAATGGGAGTTTAGATAATCTTATTCTGTTTTCACTTGTTGTTCCATTAGTCACATCTCGCGTCTTTTCATTTGCATCATAGAGCTGACTATAGTTTACAAAAAGTTCTAACTATACGCGTCTGTTGTTAATTTCTCTTCTTTTTACTAAGAAAACCTCGTTTGATTCTTGTTACCAATATTGCAGGAAACATTCAAGAATATCATGCAAAGTGAGTTAGCCATTCAATTTTTTTTCCTTTTTCCCTCTCAACAGCTTTTCTCTAATCTTTAGTTGCTGATGAAAATCACTTCTTTCCTACAGATTTGAATTTGTCATATCCAAAAATGATCGATATCGCGGTTCCATCTAACATGGTTTGTGGATTGCAAGAGACGAAATCTGATCTCTAATCTCAGATCTCTGGTTTGATCATTTCATTGTGCCAGAAACTGTAAATTTAGAGCAATGTATACACATTTAGAAGTGCAAACATACTATGTATGTTTTGATGGAAATGTTTAATAATGGTTTATTCAATGAGTTTGTAAGAGCTTTGTTGTGATATAATATGAATAATGAGTGTTTATATGATACATCATAATATCACATATTTTTTCATAATGAGTCACTCTACTCTACCAAAATATCACCAAATCATATTTTGTCGAGGAGCTTTTACCTTTTCGTTTTCTTAATAACTTGAACCACAAACTTAAGATTGGAAGTGATTGATGTTTACCATCCGATCAATAGCAGGTCAATAGAATAAATTTCTCTATTAATACTTATTCATATGCCATAGTTAATTAGTGATTTGTTTTTTCTAATAAAAAAATAGTTTAGTGTGTTGCTATCTCCAACATGAGGGTCACTTTTCAACATTGTCAATACTTATCTAGAAACCATCAAGATTAGTTTTTTTTTTTTTTTTAATAATTTGAAATGTGGTTGGACATATCCACGTGGAGGCTCATAATTAGTCAATCATAACTACATAGCCAACGAATACCAGCTCACTAAAATGTTGATCCAAAATTCCCAACTCAAAACTTAGAAAAATTCAACAATTCAATGAGTGAAGAAGGCAAGGAGAGTCACCATCACCACCACTTCCCCCATCATCACCACCACTTCCCCCACCATCACCACCACGGAGAAGACCAACCGGCGGCAGTGTCGGTACCGGTGCCGCCACCGGAATATGGAACTTTTCAAGCATCTTCTCAACCGGTGATGGGATTTCCTCAGCCGGTTCCGCCGCCTGGCGCTACGGGGGCACCTACACCTGAATACTATGCTCATGGTTATCAAGCTGTTCCAGGTTGTTGCTCCTATACTTTGTCCTGTTTGGCTATAAATTTTGAAGTTGAAACTCGAAAATTTGAGTTTTTAAAGTTGTGAATTTTGTAATTTGAGTTTGTGTTTGGATATGCTTGGAAAAAAATTGAACTTTTGTAAGTGAAACTGAAATTTCTCCCAAAAACTAGTCTACACAGGGTTTTAAAAATTGTTTTTGATTTGGGTGGAGCCACCCTTATAAATAAGAGATCGGAGAACTCAATAGTTTTGGCTCAAACTTATAATCTATTTAGAACTCATGAAGCAAAAACGATTGTGATTCAGAACTCGTAAATTAAAAATCTTGGCTTTGTCTTTGATGTTATTTTCATGGTTCAGGACGGATTTGACTTTGATATGGACAATATAGTTGAACTAACTTGAAATGAAGCCATAAGAAACTTGTGGTAGGTTGTACAAATAGTCAAATGATGATTTTTCATAGAAGCATAATTATAAAGAATTCATAACTCAGAGGCGGATCCAGGATTTAAATTTGATGGTTCAGTCTTTAGGCTTTTACCGGTGAACTCATTATCCTTTATATTTGTTGATTTTAGTGATTTTTTTTTATATATATATTCATGCTCCATGTCGAAAATGTTGGGTTCGATTGATTTTATACTAGATATGCTTGTGCCTATCCTGACCTCAGATAGTTTCGATTGAAGCTTAGTTGATTTATTGATTAGCTACAGTTCATCCTGGTGTTACAAATGACAGAACATGATATATCCTATTAAGAGGGACTAGTCTTGCAAGATCATACTTTGTTATATTTTTAAGGGCCTATGATGAGACTATCGATGAGTTCTATCATTTGGAGCATCAGTATTATTTGTTAATTAGAGGTTCCGAACTATTGTCACTTACAATTTTCTTCCACTTTTCCTATTTTTTTAGGTTATACTGCTCCTGATCCTGAGGGAAGACCTGAGAGACATCATCGCCTTCCTTGCTGTGGCATTGGTCTCGGATGGTTCTTGTAAGTTCCCTTTTTCTTTTCCCCTCAATCAATCAGCATTCGACTTGAATTATTAGATGTTCATAATGCTTTGTGCTTTTTAGTAACATATGCTTCTTGTGTACTAGTTATCTACCATACGAGTAATACTAGTCTATAGACTTGCTCAAATATATACAGAGGCTAAGTGATGGTCTGTCTTTGTTATCCCACTGCTTTTATATTCTAATATCTTGATTCACTTGCCCTTTCTCCACAAGGAAGATGCACTATTTGTTGTTTCTTGTCTTGATTAGTAAAGGGTAAATGTGCCTTGCAAATCTAGTGCTAACAGATCCAATCTCCAAATACATACCTTCAAAGTCCAAGGAATTCGATGAAAAGTAAACAAACACTTCTTGAATGTTCCTCGAAAGGGTGCTGGAAATTGTGTCCTTGATCTTTGAGTTTATGATCAAAAACACACCCGGACTATCGTTTTTTAGTGAGTTTCACAACCCAAATATTTGTTGTTCCCTTTTTCTACCTGAACTATCATTATCTATGTATTAAAACATACCTCAACTATCAAGTAGGAAAAGAGAACTAATAGTTGAGGTGTGTTTTCATTCATATATAGATGGTGATAGTTCAAGTATAAAAAAGGAATAATTGATAGTGGTGGATGTGAAACTCGCGAAAAAAAGTGAGTTGAATTTGGATTTCTTGATAGTTACTATACTATATTTGTTGATGTTTAAGGAACATTGGTAAGATTGACGTTTGAAAGTTTATCTTGACTAGTATCAATTGATTAAGTAAGATACTAGAATCCTGCAATCTGACCTTATGTAATTCAAGTTGTCTCACATTCGATGATACTTAGCTGTTTGTTTTATTTTTTTGAAGGTTCATTATCGGTTTCCTTCTTGCTGGCATCCCTTGGTATCTAGCTGCATTTGTCCTGCTTTGTGCACAAATTGATCCTCGAGAGAAACCAGGATACATCGCGTCCACCATTGCTGTAAGTCATCTTTTTTCTTAGGCAGCAAATGTATTAACTGATGATGTGCTTTTGCCTACAAAGTCAAGGTTTTTCGACTTAATCAGAATATGAAAAACAAAACCATACAATTCTGCCAATTTGCGTATAGCAACTTAATGTCTCATGTAAGGTAATAATACTATTCTGTGTTGCATTGCAGGCTGTTCTTGCTACTTTTGTCCTCGTATTTGGTTTGTCGAAGGATTGACTGGAGAGTGGTGATCAATCTGTTTGTATTCATATCGGAACGTTATCTGGCTTTGCTTAATTTGCATTTTTTTCAGTAAAAATTCCATATCTTTGATACCTTGTATTTTTAAGATCTGCTTGTGAGTAGTGATATGTGCTTTTAAGAGTATATGCATTGTGTAATTAAATTGAATTTACATTATATCGCACCAGAATTCTCCGATAACATGTATTACCAATGGGTTAGAACTTACTTGTGTTCTGTGATGAGCAGTGTTATATGCTCGTGGGAAGTAGTAGGTATCCGATGTTATAGTCAATGTGAGTGCAACTTGATCACTATTTTGACTATATAAAATGTGTTTGTTTTGTACCAATAACCACTTTTATGGCCTTGTACATAGAAGTTGAACAAATGTTGTCTTTTAATTGAAATATATATTTTTCAGAAATATTAGTTAATGTTCAATTACTTGAGTCTTAAAGATCTGTGGATTAACATTTTGAGATAAAGATTTAACCTTTTCTTTTGTAGTTTCTTTGAATTTCAAACTCTACAGGTATTCTGGATGTTTACTTGTGAGTTGTAAAATCTGAAACTTCAGAACGACTACTATTTTTAAGAGATAATGATTAAAAAAAACAATTGAAGTATCAACTTTTTATGAGTTTCATATCTAAAATATCATGTGTTTATGTTTCCTATCTAAGTAATCACTAACTATTTATCAAAAAAACACCTCAAAACTAACTAAACCAAGTATTTGAATACAATCCCAAAAAGTGTGTGACAACTTTATTCGCCCATAAAATTTCGTCCATATGGCAGCTAACTCATTAATTCTGATGCGTGTTTTGATAAATATTTGTTCATAGTTCAGCAGAAAAAAACTCGCAAAAAAAATGATACTTCAAGTGTATTATTTTTTAAAACCATTATCTCTTTTTTTAATTATAGAAATTGAAAATTAATTATTTTTAAATTTTTAATGTAGGATACTCTAGTAATTAGTATACTCCATTTTAGACCTCAATTATTTTTGCAATATAAAATAGGATAAAAAATCAAGATAGGATGATATAGCTTGGAGATATAGTTCAAATCTTCTCAAGCCTTGTGATTGGCTAATCAAACACAACACAAAATATTTCCAACCACAATTTCTACTTGTGCAATATTAGCCACCCACGTAGGATTCTCACTTTCTCTATACAAATAACAACCAATTCCCTCTTTAGAACCATCCACATTTGCCAAGCACAAAATATATTTAAAAAAACTCAACTTTGAGAAGTTGAAGAAAATGGCATCAATGGCAGCAACAGCAAGCTCCACCACAGTTGTTAGAGCAACACCATTTTTGGGCCAAACCAAGAATGCTAACCCTCTTAGAGATGTTGTTGCCATGGGCTCTGCCAGATTCACCATGGTATATATACATTATATCCCCTTTTCTTTTCCATGTTTTAGTTTTTATGCGAGTTTATCTTGTATTCATAAGCTCTGGAAACAGTTTCTTGCAGAAATGTAGTTTAAGGTTACATACAATACTCTTGTGAAGTTGTGGTCTGGCCCTTTTCAAACCTCACACACGAGAGCTTAGTGCACCAGACTGTCTTTTTTTTTTCTTTTCCTACTAGATTTTTATGTGACCTGTTTCTTTTTTCTCATCTTATCAGAGTAATGATTTGTGGTACGGACCTGACCGTGTCAAGTACTTGGGACCCTTTTCTGCTCAAACTCCTTCATACTTGAACGGAGAATTCCCTGGTGATTACGGATGGGACACTGCTGGTTTATCTGCTGATCCTGAGGCCTTTGCCAAGAACAGAGCTCTTGAGGTACAGTTATTTGTACACTTCTCTAAATTTCGACACACTTACCAAAAAAGAGTAAGGTCTGCATACACTCTATGCTCTCCAGACCTCACTCATTTGGGATTTCACTGGATATGTTGTTTGGTTGTTTGCTGATTAACGTTGAACTATATAGGTTATCCATGGAAGATGGGCAATGCTTGGTGCACTAGGTTGCATTTTCCC